TTCCCTCGCAATACTTTTGCGTTACCTCGCAATACTTTTGCATTTCCTCACAATACCTTTGCATTCCCTCGCAATACTTTTGCGTTACCTCGCAATGCTTTTGCATTACCTCACACTACCTTTGCATTCCCTCGCAATACCTTTGCGTTCCCTCGCAATACTTTTGCTTTACCTCATAATATTGTTTTGCGTTCCCACGTATAAGTTTGTTTTATATATGAACTGAATTAAATAAGATTTTTATTTTGAAATATCCAGTTACCAAAACAGGATGTGTCGCCACAAGTTCGTGAAATTGACATTGATGTTGCGTGGCTGCACTGTGTTAAAATATCGGCATATGACATACTTCCATGCGTGGCTGCATAATATACGTATTCATTCTGAAGCTGAATTAAAGCAGTAGGCTAACTCACTAATGGTAAACATGTGAGTTTATTAATAAACCGGCAGGCACAACAGTGTTAACGACTTTTGCGAGGGAACGCAAAAGATATTGCGAGGTAACACAATACTTTTGTGTAGGAACGCAAAAAGAAAAAAAAAATCCCCCATGTCCCCTCGCAGGCTCAGTAGAAAAGAGCCTCACTGAGTGATAAGTAGTGGAGCTCAGCAGACAGTTTAAGTTTCACTTTCACTTGTTTGCTTTGTTACTGCCGAGAGCCTGCAGGAGTCATGGGCGGGGTGTGTGGGATGGGGGGTGGGGAGGTGTGCTCCGTGATGAGGAAGTTCGGCTTAAAGACACGTCCCARGGGCGTTTCTGGTCCCCACCTGTCGTTTTGCTCCTCAGCATGGCTTCCTAAAAACACTGCAGGATTTCTCAAACATGCATGAATGAGTCAGAGCAAGGCTTTGGGCATGTTTTTTTATGAGAGTATAACATTATAACATGATATATTTACATTATATTGCCCCTTTAACACGTTCCAACCCATTACCTTATGGTTCATGTGGGTGAGAGCATCGTGCTTCTGAGAGAGATTGATGAGCTGCATCAGAGCAGAAAACAAACACAGAAATCTGTTCAAAAACGGATTATTACTTCACKTTGACCTGAAATCCATAAACCTGAAGCAAATGAAGTGGGTGAATCTGAAGATAGGGCTGGTTCTAACAGCCGTGAAAAGGTTTTAAATGTTTTCCCGCCTCACCATGTAGTTGTGTCCATGCTTGGACTGCAGCATCGGAACGATTTCCCTCAGGCTCTGCAGGTAGTTGTCCTCAGGACACGCAGCAGGACAGAGGACGCTGATGATGCGCTCCGTGACGTACGTCAGATCCATCTGACGCCGCTCCTCCATGTCGGCTTTACATGGGTCGTCTGAGACGACTGGAAGTGCCCCGGTGTCAAAAAGAAAGTTAAAGGGACTTTAGGGAAGTGAAACCTTTCTGKTTTTAACTCTGGGTTACTCCGAGCTTCGGCCACATCTTCTGAACGGACGCTGACTTTCGGCTCACGCTGCAAATAGCTGATTTCAACCTATGAATCTCATGTGAACGCCTGCTTTGTCACTGGAAAGACTTTCTGAACATGTGACTGCATGAGCGCAAACATAAATGTCAGCTCAAAATTCTGCAGACAAAAAGAAAAACTTGCACAAGTGGCTTTTTTACATTTGGCAAATCCATAAATATATAGTATTTATGTTTTATAAACACTTATTATCATTATATAAAGTGTAGCACCTACAGTTAGTCTAGTTTTAAACAAAAACGTTTTGTCATCCATTAGCACTTGGGGATAACTCTCAGCTACTACCACACTTTAACTCAATATCTGTAAAAGTGCCAGAGTTATTTTTATGTGGCTGACAGCTACTTTCATGTTTAATGTTTATAAATGAAATAATAAAACATAAAAATTATTTGCTTTGTTGCTTTTGTCTTAATTTTACAAAACAAAATCTGACTGATGTTTAACAGAGATGCTAGCGCTTAGCTTGTAAGGCTAGTTACGTGGCTAATGCTAGTATTTTTAACAGAAATAAATTGTTAAAACATGACAGAGATGAAGCTCAAGTCCTAAGGAGAAATTGAACAAACTTCTGAAATTTTATTTTTGATGTGAAAAACATTCACGCAGGCTACAGTAGTTAGCTTTAGCGTTAACTTAGCATGAAATCATGAACATTTTAGCCTGGTTCCGCTATTTATATGGTAGCCATTATGATTCAGGTTAATTTTGATCTTTTTTATGTTTAATGTTTATAAACAAAAGCAGCAAAACATGAAATTATTTGTCTTAATTTTACAAAACCATAAATTAACAGAGCACCTGCTAACATGACTAATGCTAGCAAGTTTAACAGAAACAAATCTTGTTGTTATAAATAACTTGGAGTTAGATGAAGACAAGCTTTTAAGATAAATTACTGAAATCTTATTTTTGATGTAAAAAAAACATCTGCATGCTAACTGTAAAACTATAGCAGCCAGCTTTAGCATTAGCATAAAAACAAAAAACTGGAACATGTCAGCTTGACTCTGCTTGTGGCAGACAATTTGAATCAGGTTGACTTTTAGCTACTTTTATGTTTAAAGTTTATAAATAAAACAACAAAACAATAAATTATTTGTCTTAATTTTATTTTAAAATGGTTGACTAATTTTTAAAAGAGTATGTATTTTTTGTCATTAACAGAGATGCTAACACGTAGCTTGTTAGGCTACTTACGCGGCTAATGCTAGCATGTTTAACAGAAACATGTTATAAAGTGACAGAGTTAAAAGTTCTGCTTGATACATGGCAGATTAAGTTCTTCAGAGAAATTTAATGAACTGATGAAATTTTATGTTTCATGTGAAAAACATGCTAACGGTAAAGCTACAGTAAATAGCACAAGTGTTAGCTTAGCACAGAAGCTAAAAAATTGGAATATTAGCCTGGGTACTCACTCTTCAAACTTTTAAGATATTTACACTTGTAAATATATAAAATACATTTTATTTTCCGTGTATTAAATAATAAAATAAGTGTTTATGGATTTTATCAATTTTGGACGCATGTTTACATTTTCTCTAATGATTGTGTTAGGGTGTATGACTTCATTTAAAACTTTATTTTTAGTTTTGGGACTCTATTTAGAGTTTAACCCGCTTTCACCAAAACCACACGACCACAGCAGAGCAAACAGTGACTCAACAGAAAATAACCTGCTGAAAATCACAGCAGCTGCTTGTTTTTTAAAATTTATTTAGTCCAAGGAATAACATGTTGAGAKTGAGGTTCTGTTGTATCAGAAAAAATACATTTTGATTTTCTTTAGCTTCACGGTGGCACATTTTCCTCAAAGCACTGATCTTAATCTTAAAATGAATTGTTTTTAATGATCGTGTTTTATAATATTAAGAGAATATCATTTGGACTCTACTTGCAGCAATCTGAAAAGACACTAAACAACATATTAAAGATGCAAAGTAGCTGGAAATGTTAAAAATAAACAACAAGGGATGAAAAACACACATGAACAAGAAAATAAACACAAACAAGATGTGAACTAAAAGCAAAAAGGCAACATTAAAACTCCCAGATAGGGCTGCCACGATTAATCGATGACTAATCGATTATTAAAATAATCGATGACTAATTTAATAATCGATTAATCTTTTTTTTGTTGTTTACTTTGTTTTTCTCTCCAAACTGCTTTGACACCTTCAGGGAAATTTACCACAGAGCAGAACTTACCTTCCACAGCAATTATTTTTAGTTAGCATATAGCTAAAATCTAACCATGGTTAACCGCAGTGAAGTTAGTTTCAAGTTGGATATTCGATATTCGAGCTCCGTGAATCAAGGGTTGTCTCCCTC